CTAGCAGCGCTTCAAGACTGGCTAAGTGGTCCTCTGTTGTTGCCACCTAGGCCTATATATCGTCTAGGTGGCAGCAAACACTCTTGAGGCCCTTCAACATAGTATTCATTATCTTTTAGAAAATCTCTGGCTCGGCGTCGATTCAAAGCTAACCTGTTGGCAACGAACAATCCCTTGTGGGTAATCAAAGTTAGGTATTACTTTGAGGCACCAGACATCAGCACTTTCTGATAAGCGTGGTTCAAGTCCATCTTTGAAAAATGTGTGCCTCTGGACGGAACCGCACACAAGTCGTTGACCTTGGGCAACTGATAACAGATGATGCCAAAGCACGGATTCACTGTCACTTTATAATCACCTCATCAGCATATGCACGTCTTTCTTGATAACAGGTACCACATGGCGTAAACTGATGTGGCAACAGCTGTTATGGTGTCCATTTTTTTCATCTCGGAAAGCTCAGTCTCGACTGTATTTTGCAGCACGAACGGCTTGTTTGTTGCTTTGAGAAACTTTCATGCCTGATTAGGCTTGTAATACAGCTCGGCCTTTTTTTCGGTGATCATGCCTAGCTCATCTTTAAAAAGAGAATCGTACTTCTTGATCAAACCGTGTCGCCTTTGTTCTAAACGACAAGAAATGGGCAGCTCTGACTTTGGCAGATGGTGGATGTTCTAAATTTTGCTCCACTTAAGCCCGATTGCTTAAAGCCATTTCCATCCTAGCAATGGCGGTCTCTCCTAGTTGACAACGTATAAAGGCAGGCTCGCCGTATTGCCGCCGTGCTGCACCTTGACCTGTAGGGCGCCTTTTGGGACATCATTTTTATTTCTTCGGTACCTTGATAGGTTCAATACTGGGAGAAGATACACCCTTTATGGCTACCACTTCTGAGTGGCATACTACCGCTAATTCTTGTGAGACTCTTGATGGGGCGTTTCCCTCGCAACATGCCAGAATCACTGCAGGAGGCTCATTGAAGGTGCCCCCTTTTGTTGCACTTGTAGCATTTGTCATTAAAGTGGGGACACGCCTTGCCGAAATGTTTTAGACCCGCAGCGACTGCGGCTGCACACTCAATGCCGCCTCTACTTAATGCATACTTTATGCATACGCCTCTACGCGAGCATACCTGTGCGGGCTTCAGCAGTGATTTTCGTTGCCACCTCTGAAGTCAGAGTGCGCTCTACCGCTCTCTGAAATGTGAGCTTGCTGTCGTCAATGAACAAGACTCACTACATATTCTCTCAAAAACCACACACGAAGCGATCCCAGTGGTATTTTTATAACGAGCTTCCAAAATGACAAGTTGCCGTTAGCTTCTATTGTTGCAATGTAATTAAAAATGGACTGATCTTTGACTTGCTGCCTCTTGTAGAACTTCACTCGCTCACCGATGACCGAAGGTTTCGCTTACAGATGGTCCCCAAGGTCTTCTTTATTAGCTTGAAGCTCTTCATTTAGGTTAGCTCCGGAGCGACCAGCGATTTCATAAGACTGTAGGTTTTGGGATCAATGATGCTCAGGAATGCATGTACTCTGTCAGCTTTGAAACAATGTTGATGATTAGAAACGATGTTAGCCGCTCTTCTTACGATGCCCAGTCATTCATCAAAGCGTCGAATGGTTCCATCTGACTGAGAGCAGCAGAAAACTGCATCAAACCTGCACTGGCTTCTTCATTCACGATATAAGTTTAAAAAAAAGCAGCACTTTTCAGTCATCAATACTGAACAGAGGCCAAAGGCCTAGAACACTTGCCTTCCTTGACACTGTGTGACATTTCAAGATCTCATCTTCATTGCCAAGTGTTATGATTTTAACAGATGTGCTGAATAGGACCAGACAAGTTCCGGATAACTGCTTTTTGACCCATGCTTGTGAATTAATTCATGGCTGCGGTAAGAAAAAAGCGCCGCTAGCAAGCGGCATTTTGCTTTTACACCTGACGGCACATGTGTACTTCGCAGAGCACTCTTAGGACTGGAGTGCCAGCCGACACAACACTCAATGCAATATAAAGTCATTATGAAGTAACTAAGAGCAGTGCCACTAAGTATGGGATTACAAAAATAATTGCTGGATTGCAGTGTTGGCCAATAAACCTACAAAGTTCATGACAGCCACAAGTATTCCATGTTGTCACAAATGGTGGCACGAGAGTTCACCTTGTCCCCACTGCATGCACTTTGACCTAGTTGTTGAAACGGAGTTAGGACACAATACACAGGGAGGTGTCAAGCATACCTCAGTACCAGCGTCATAGTAGGTGGATCTCTGAAACACTCCATGCTCACTATGTTATCAAATCCCGAGTTATGTGGAAGGTTCAGGAGCCTGCTGTTGCCAAAGAAAATGCCCGATGAATCCATAGGGTATCGCTTTCAAATTGCTTACCCAGCACTTGAGCTTGGCACCCTCGGAAATCTACAAAGCAATTTTGTTTCAAACTCCAATGCTAGAGTGCCTCACTGAGGTGTCGCAGATTGAGAACAACTTTTGATTGGGCGCAAGAATTTTTAGCGCATAAGTAACATGCAGTAAAAGGGGGGGGGGGGGGGGAGACATGTGTTCTGCATAAAGGAAGTGAGATCCTTCCCTTGTAGTCCTTGTGCGCATGAATTTTTTGACACCTGTCACACCCAAAAACAGTAGGTATATTTTTTTCTGACTCCGTGACTACTATTGGCAGCTTTGGCAGCTTCTGTATGAGTCAAGCAATACTTTTAAATGTAGCTCCTTTTTCAGCTTCATTTTTAGCGTGATAGCGTTGAAGTGCTCTTTTCGGAGAAATTCTGTTGTCGGTGTAGGCATCTGCGACATTGGTTGTGAGCGAAAAATCAGCTTATGCTAATCGAAAAATCGAAACTGCGTAAATAAAATAATTGATAAAAAAATTCCAGGTCAAAGTACAAACCAAACCAGGGTCCTTTGCATGGCAAGCGCATTTCCTACTACACGGCCATGTGCCTGCTTGTGAATACTGTAAAGAGAACTTCCTCTACTTGGAAATTTAGTGAAAGTAGCTTTCATGTTTTACAAGCACATGTGTACTGTATACATGCTTCGCAATGCAACATGAAATACTGCAGGAATGCTTAGAACAAACACCCATTTCCTGCAGGCATCAGAACATGTGATTATCATAACGGCTTTTTGGTTTAAAGCTGGTCACCCACTACAAAAGGCACACACACTACTGCGCCTATTCCCTTAAGGACACGTAGTGGGTACACAGCAAGTTCAAAAAAGTTTCATGCGCTAAGTGTTTGAAGTATGCACTGGGAACAGGATATCGCTATCACGTTCAACTCCTAAAGGCGAAGCTTTAGGGTTCCCTAATTTTTTTGTGGGGTGCCTCATAGTAATGGTGTCATCCATGCAAAGACGCGCTCATGATGTGGTCGAGTATACAAAATTAATTTAGAGGTGTCGTTGGACAAAAGAAATAATTTGAATTGTTTTAGTTGTCTATTGTCTTCTTGAAAGATTGCTACAAAAAGAGAGTTTTGTGAGGAGTTTGCTCGCATTGTGAGAACATATTTATGTCCAGTACACTGGAAACCAGGATGCAATTGGCGCACAGTGGGCTAAACATACAGGAAAAAAAAAACAAGAGACGTTGTCTTGTGACAGTGTAAAAGTCCAGCCATAGGAAATGAAGCTGGTGTATGATGGGACTTGTAACAAGAACAGGAAGCACAAGGAGGGAGCCACGTCGGATGAGGTTGACTTGTGAATGCTAGGTGCCCTCCCTCGTAGTTTTTTACGCGACCGCTTATAAGCGTGTAATGGACAAGGTCACATCTACACACACGTTGCCCTTCACTTCTCTCTCTCTTCTCCTTTAATCCCCTCACCCCTTCCCCCAGTGCAGGGTAGCAAACCGGACGTGCATCTGGTTGACCTCCCTGCCTTTCATTTTTTCCCTTCCTCCTCTTCCTCCTCCTCCTTTCAAATGCACTGAATGCTGTGTGAGACAGCTAACCAGGAGAAATGTTCTCTCAGATGAAAACAAACCATTTTTGTGTTTTATAAGATCATTAACTGTCCTACAAGGTCAAAAACAACACTCTTTTAAGGAAAGTGGCAGAATGTGTGTACCCATGTGTGTATCAAATGAATCCCAGTGTCCAGTATACTGGACATGATTCTCCCGTGAAAAGCATTGCATTTACAGTCTCCTTTATTTTTTTCACGCTTTTCAATAGCCTCATTGCTAGAAAAAGAACATAAAAATTTTGTTCTATTCTAAAAAAAAGTTTGGGACCGAAAGGGATATGCTGCACTTGCCTTTTTGCTAATGCATCACTGGAACCCACATCATGTACATTGAGCTAAAGCCCGTGGAGGTTGTTATTTCATAAGAATAGCCTCGCTATTGGCTGCTGTTGGACTGTTGGTCTTGTCACCCTTTTTAGAGTGGCACACCATTTTCTGTTAGTACACTATATGCACTATAAGGTTAGAGACATACTGTTGTACCAAACGAGAGTTTCTCTGCTCTAAACCTATTCCAAAACATTTTTTTTTCAACTACAAACTTGCTCTGAAACACAGTTCCTCGTGCTCCTAACCTGCTTCTAAACATCTTTTTTTTTGCTCCAAAACTTGCTTCAAGTCTTCACTGCCTGGACTACTGTTTTTATATTTAGATGCCATACATCAACCACTACTTTGATTCCTTTAGAGTCATATATATTATCACTTGACAAATTAATGACATCATTATCAATTTATAAATACTGGCCTGGAGCTTCTTTGCAATTATTGGTGACTGCACCAAAAACACCAGATTATAGTCAGCAGGGCCATAAGCCATGCCTGCCCGTGCATAAACATTTTTGAATTTCTAGGTATGTGTACATGCATGTAATAATGAGTGCCATCAGTGCCAGCACTTAGTTATACTTGTAGTGTTTTCTCTTGTTTGCTTCTTCCAATTTATGTGCTATTAAGTTTACAATGACTGAAGTAAAATATGTGCTTTTTGCATGAAGCCAATGGTGATCAGCACTTCAGTTCACAGCTGGCCAGCACTGCAAGGGAATCTGTGAATAAGTCCCTGGAAAAAATTCATGCAAAGAGGTAAGTCATCATTTTTCATGGCATGAACATTCAGTGTAAACTTTGTGAGATGATATGGAAAACCGAGTATGTGATTATTGGGTGCGGGTCTCGGAGGCTTTGTGTGATTGATAGTGGAGGAACAAGATCACGCGAGTGTCGATTGGGTGCGGGTGCCGGAGGCTGGGTGGGGTTGATGGTGGAGGAACGAGATGGCACGAGTGTCGAGTGACCAGAAGAGGGCGCAGGCACGCAGCAATAAGGGAGGAAAGAGACGAGGGTACGAAGGCAGACATGCTGTAGATGTGGCAGAGAGAATAAAGGATGTGCAGAATGTGTAGTGAACGTGTGGGTGGTGTAGTATATCATCGAGTCTCACAACTTGTTAAAACAGTCATGTATGGTCATGTGTCTTAAGTGCACATATGATGCATGTTATTATCAGTGATAAACGTATCTGGTAATTTGTTTTGTTGGTGTTTGTTATTTTTTGGATTGACTGTATTTTAACCTCTCCTAATCTTTTTTGTGTGTCCTATATAATGTAAATGTAATATAGAAAGGTAAAATGAACTCTGTTTCTGGAGTAGTTCTTACTGCGCCAACTTTTTTATACTTTCGTGAATAAATGCTATTCACTCAGTGTTTCTCTTTCAAACTTTGAAAGAACTGAATACCTTAGGTGCAGTAGTATCTGCTAATTTATTGTGAGAGCCGTTATTGTTAGATAGTTTGTCTTGGTGATTATCCACCGTGGGGGTGTCTGCACAAGCAAGCGTAAGGCGGCCAGAAGAGTCTTTCAGTGTGGAGAGCCAGCAAAGCGCGTGGTGATCAGTTACTAGATCGAACGGGCGGCCGTATAAGTACGGCCGGAACTTTCCAAGCGCCCACACCAGAGCCAAACACTCTTTTTCTGTCACGCTGTAATTAGTTTCGGCTTTTGTCAGAGTGGGGCTAGCGTAGGCTACAACGTATTCTGAATAGCCGGGCTTTTGTTGAGAGAGGACAGCGCCTAGCCCGACGCCGCTGGCGTTGGTGTGCACTTCAGTAGGAGCCGTTAAGTTGAAGTGGCGAAGAATAGGTGGGGAGGTGAGCAGACGGCGCAGAGTTGTGAAGGCAACGTCACATGCAGGGGACCAGGAGGAGAGGTTCACGTCACCACGAAGAAGCTGGGTTAATAGTGTCATGATGGATGCAAAATTGCGAACAGAGCGCCGTAAATAAGTGCATAGGCCTACAAAACTGCGAAGTGCCGTCATGGTCGTCGGCTTGGGAAATTCTGCAACTGCTCGAAGTTTTGCTGGGTCAGGTAATACGCCGTGCTTGGACACGATGACGAGCTCGCGTGCAGCAAGCTCGTCATGATGACGTCAGGATGACGAGCTCGCGTGCAGCGATGCGGCATTTTTTCAGGTTAAGCTGCAGGCCAGCGTTGGTCAGACAAGTCAAAACGTGCCTGAGGCGAAGGAGGTGCGTAGTAAAGTCGTGCGAGAAAACCACGACATCGTCGAGGTAGCTGAGGCACATATTCCACTTGAGGCCACGTAGCATATTATCCATAAGTCGTTCAAACGTGGCAGGTGCGTTACAAAGCCCAAAGGGCATGACGTTAAACTCGTATAGTCCGTCAGGTGTAATAAATGCAGTTTTTGGCGATCGGCTTCAGCCATTGGAACTTGCTAATAGCCAGACCGCAAATCTAGCGACGAAAAGAATTCCGCTCCGTGAAGGATATTAATGGCGTCATCAATGCGCGGCAAAGGATATAAGTCCTTGCGGGTTATCTTATTTAAACGACGATAGTCCACGCAAAATCAGATCGATCTATCTTTCTTATGCACCAGGACGACAGGAGACGGCCAGGGACTGTGAGATGGTCGAATGACGTCTCTATGGAGCATATCTTCGACTTGATCGTTGGTGACGCGGCGCTGTTCAGTGGAGACTCGGTATGGTCTTTAACGCAGTGGCTGGTGTAGGCCGGTGTCAACATGATGTTTGACTTGCGACGTGCGGCCTAGTTGAAGTTGCGACACATTGAAAGAATTCCGTAACTCATGCAGAAGATCAAGCAGGTCGGCATGTTTGGTGGGAGTGAGGGTGTCAGCGATGGCGCTGGAAAACGTATCCTTGGACGACTCCTCGAGTGCCGACAGTGATTTTGGGTGGTCGCAGTAGTCATCCGGGACATCAACCAAAGACGAAGGGTCGAGATCCTGCACACGGCTGAGACATTCCCCCACAAGCAAAGTGACAGGTGTGGAAAGCGAATTGAATATGAACATATTGCTTCTTCTGGCGTCAAGGTGAATCGTTGCGAAAGGCAGCGGCAGAGTTCAACGACTCGTGATGATATCGGAAGGCATAAAAAAGACTAGCGTCAGTGTCAGCGTTGCATGAAATGGGAACAGGTGCGAAATTTTCAGGTGGAATATCGGTATCTTCATGCACGAACAACTTCGGCGGCTGATGAGGAGTGTCAAGTAATGGGACATCACAAAAAGGGTGAAAACTCGACTCCAGTGCGTGCGCAGTCGATGACGGCATTATGACGGGATAGGAAGTTCCACCCGAGGATGACGTCATGCGGACAGACAGCGAGGACAATAAACTCCACGATGTAAAAAATGCCTTCGATGGACACTCTTGCAGTGCAGGCTGCGAGAGGATTTACTTGCTGTGCGATTCCGGTGTGGAGCGACAGTCCTTAAAGCGGTGTCGTGACTTTACGTAATAAACGGCAGACATTAGCGGCAATAACAGAAACAGCGGCGCCGGTGTCCACGAGGGCGAAAGTACAATAACCTCCAACAGTTACTGCGACCACATTAGCAGGAGACAGTTCGAAAATGGCGCAGTTCTTGCCTCTTGAACTGCGGTGCTTAGTTTTCCTAGTCAGAGGGTCCAAGCCGGCGACGCATGGGGGAGAGCTATCGCCGAAGAGGAGAGAATGTGCACGGCGTCACGAAGCTGGGGTCGTTAGGAGGCGCATAGCGAGGTGACGAGACGGGCCCGTATTGGGCGAAGGGTTGGCTGCCGGGTTGCGACGATCGGGCATAGTCGCCGAACGTCTGAAATCGACGGTGGCAGTAGCGGGCAACATGTCTGGGAGTGAAGCAGGCATAGCATATCGATCGGTTATCGGGCGTCCTCCAAGGATTGGTGACTGGTGGTGCCACCCAAGGTGCAGTATAAGCAGCCGGGTGTGCGGGCTGTGAGCGCGTGGTGTAGAGTGGTTGGGAAAGCCTACACACAGCGTCTGCATATGTGAACGGCGCTGTTACAGGCTGCATCTCTTGCGAACAGGCGACAGGAGGAGCCACAGGCTGCGCTGCATACGTTAGGGGCGCGACCACAGGCTGCACGGCTGGCGGATAGGCGACAAGAGCGCCTACTGGCTGCGTGACACGCTGACAGGGAACACGGCTGGATAGAGGCGGCTCGTGGTGCGCAAGGGGAATAGCTTGGGCAACCTTTTCCGAAATAGCAGTGCGAAGCGGGGCAGGTAGACGGGTGGTGGTCTCATGAGTGAGAAAGGGGTCAATGCTATGCGTGCCAGTTCTCCTGAAGTACAGGTAGTGATATGTATGATACCCAAAGTACCGGTGCGTGACGGTAACTTGCAAAGAGCGGTTGTCAACGCGAACCAAGAGATGTGGCGAATAAGTCGACAGAAAGGCTTTGAGGTGGTGAAAATAAACAGAGAAGTGCATAGGTGGGGTGGTTTTCAACAAGACAGAATTCACTTCGATGGGCGGCTAGGTCATGAGGCGGGTTGGCGACTTCCAGGACGGGCAGTAGCTTTTTTGGGGGGCACGCAGGCCCTTCAGGGTGCAGGATAGCTAGTAACAATGAAAACAACCAGAAAGACTGACAGGTGATATGGACAGATACGATTCCAAAGTGGCACCAATATCTAAGACGGGTAGAGTCCGGGGCAGAAATAGACGTAGCCACGAGGGCCGAGCTAATTTTGACTTAGGGTATATTAACATGCAGGGTGGCAAGAACAGGCTGAAATAGGAAGAGATAGAAGAACAGGTAAGGAAGGAGAGGCCGATGGTATACGGTTTTGTAGAAATACATTTTAGGGACACGGAACAACCTCCTAACAATCCGGACTACGCGTGGGAATATTGTAATAGAACAGAAGGCAGCAGAAAGGGGGTGGTATTGGTGCATTCATTCATAAAAGTACAGACTGGCAAAGGGTCAAGCAGTAGTGCAAGGAACATTTATGGCTAAAAGGGAAAGTGGCAGGGCAAATGACACTCCTTGTTTTGGTGTACTTGTAGATGGGAGCAAAGGCCAGAGAAGAAAACCAGGCAATGGTGGAGTGTATATCAAAGGACATTGAGGAATTAGGAGGAGAGTGCGAGGTAATTATGCTAGGAGATATGAATGCGCACATAGAAGATATAGATGGGTATACTGACCGAACAGGCAAAGGGATCATGGATATGTGTGAAAGGCATGATTTTATCGTTTGCAACAGCACTGAGAAGTGTGAAGGGCAAATAACATGGGAGATAGGAAGGCTGCAGTCGACGATAGATTATGCACCGATGTCACATTGGATGTATGATAGGCTCGGGGGAATGCACATAGATAATATTCCTCCTTAAGTCTGGGTAGTGATCACAAACATATCAAGCTAAGTTTTGGAAGAGTAGTGAAAGTGGGAAGGAGACAAGATGAGCAACTACAGGAAAATTTTTACTCAGAAAGGTAAATAGAAATAGCTACTAAACAAATTGAGAAAGTAATCACTGAGGATAATAAAACAGTGTGGACATACACGGATTTAATTAGACTGTTTGAACTAGAAAGAAGACACAAACCCAAGAGTTAGTGGGATGAGGAAGTTAAGAGAGCCATAGCGAAACTTCAGGAACCCTCTAGGATGCACAGACATGCTAAGCAGCGGGGTGAACATACAGATGATGTTGAAAGAAAATGGGACATCTTTCTAAGTTGTAGAAGGGAAGCATCCCTTCTAATCAATGAAAAGATTAGAAGAA